GAGGGCGAGAGCGAGAGAGAGAGAAAGTGAAAAAGAAAGCCACTAGGTCCGGGACTTGAACCATGGTTGGACATCTAAGCATGTCCAGCACCTTTAACCACCACTCCATCTGCTGGTCCTCAGACTTCCTTCTTATCTGTTGTGAGCTACATGGCTATACTTGGAGTAGTATTGATATTCTATAACCTGTTTTTTGTTTTTTGTTTTTTTTTTTACATTTTTTGATAATTATTCTATTTAACTTTATTTTTATTTTGACGAGAGAGAGAGAGAGAGCAAGGTGCCAGGTCTAGGATTTGATTTGTACTTGGCCATGTGTGAGTCCAGCGCCCTCAACCACCACATCACCTTCTGGCCCCATTTATTAATAATTTTTAACAAAATATTTTATTTCAGTAAATACAATTAAAAGTATTTCAGTAAATAAATAAATACTTCCCCCCCCCCAAGTAGTATGACAACTAGTTTCAGGGAATGAAAGTATAACTTAGAGGTAACTTAGAATTATTCCACTTTTCAATTTTACCTTAGAGAAAAACTTATTTGAACCCAAAAAAGCCTAACTAGAGACTACACTGCAATGGCATAGTTAGAAGTCAGGTTGACAGGACACACTGCAAACAGTTTATCTTTGGTATGTGCGTACACCCACTTATGTGCACCTCTCATAGCTATACACATATATGTACAGGTATGTGTGAATATGAGAAGACGTAGCTATTCATGTACTTACAGACTAACAGAACTCATTAAAGCTTCATTTATCTCAAATGCACACTCTTCTAGGCCCCAGAGTTCTGGTATTGCCAAGGATTGACACTTAGACTCAGTCATCTTTGGAATCATTTGACTGATGTTTTCTTTACACAGTTAGATCCAAAGTATGTAGGGCAGCTTGTCTTAAAATTGTTGGACTTCTGAGCAGCCAGGCCATGATCTGTTTAAATCACGTCTTTTTAAAGACATTTTATCACTATAAAAACTCATTTCTTGAAAATTGAACTAGAAAAGGGAAACATTGAATTTTTTCAGGCTAAGATTTATTTTAAGTGAATCAAAATTTGTTTATAGTCTATCAAAACAAATTTAGGACATAGTTTTTCTTTTCTTTGCTTTCAGTGTCCTGATCAAACCTTTTATATTTAAGGGAAATGCACTTGACACTTACGATTGGAAACAGCTATTTACTGTGCCTTGCTTTCTAGGTTTTTGCATTTACTTTTTACTTCAAAATTAAATTACTGTACAGAAACAAGAATGCAAGCGTGTCTATGGACATTAGAGAGAGAGGGCATGCGTGCTTGGCTCTTTAAGATGGTTTAAAGATTATGTCATTACTTTTGGCTCCATTTTCAGCATCTTGGATATAAGCCACTCCCATCTCTCTTGGGATTTTATCATTCCTCTTATATAAACAAAAACTTTTTTAGTGTTTTCTTCATAAAATATTTTATACATATTCTACATAATATATAAAACAATGAAATGATCCTGATGTGGAGAAAGTAGAATAATAGGTTTTTTTCCCTGTATATTCTTATAGTAGTAAATTCCAAGACTTGCTTGACTCAGTACTACCCTGTTAAGTACTAATCAACTAAGACCTGATCATTTTAATACTCAGGGGCCTGGTAGCATTCATTATTCCTCACTCTAACGTTCAGTTCCTTTGCATAGCCAGATTACTATAATTGAGATATAACCTGTGGCCCAGTTCAGTGGTTCAGTCAATAGCAAACTGAACTACGGTGCTGGAAGCCACGTGCCAACTGCAGGTTTGGATCTCAGGGTTGGCCTGAAAACACTAAAGCGCATGTTGAGGTGTTCAGGATCCTGGCGAGCTACAGGCTAGGGGAATGGGGATCATGGCTTGTTGAGCCCTTGTCCAGTGTACTTCTCTTTCTCCCTCTCCTTCTTGTGAATGTCTACATACTCTGTCATGGAAGAGCTAGCCCCATACTACTCAAACTATTTCTAAACATCCAGAAGTAAAGACCTCTGCCAAATTAATTTTATAAAGCCTCCATCACCCTTATCCACACAACAGAAAAGGATGTAACAAAAAAGAAAAACTACAGACCAATGTCATGAATTAAATAAAGAGCAAATAGATATAACTTGAATATAATAAAGGACATGAATCTCAAGTGTACAGCTTAATGGATTTTGACCTATGTCCACACCTGTGTGCCTGCCACCCATAGAAAGATTATATTTAAGCATTTCTAGTATTCCAGTAGGTGTCTTGTATTATCTTGCATCAGGAATACCTTCTCTACCTCTCCCCCAGACCCCACAAAGGTGTAACCATGATTGACTCCCATGAAGGTGGATTAGTTTGACCTGTTTTTGAACTTCATATAAATGGAATCATAAATACTTTGGTGCCTTCAAGATCTGTTATTTATCCATATTGTTGCATATAGTAATTATTCATTCTTCTTTATTTCTGTATTCAGTAGTGTTTCATAGTATAAATATACTTCAGGGTTTTCTTTTTTAAAAATTTAAAATTCTCTTTTTTATTTTTATTTATTTATTTATTTGAGAAAGTTTCGTTATAGGGCATGTGCATTCACTAGAGAGACAGAAATCACCCTCTGGGTGGATGGCCATGCTGCAATCCCTTCTCCCCCATTCTCCTCTCAGGATCTTGGGCACGCACATACGTGCCCAGCGTGAGTTTTAAGTGAGTCTGGGACTCGAACCGCAGTCAGCTATGTGGAAGTCCAGGGATGTAACCATTATGCCATCTACTGCTCTGCAAAATTAGCTCTTTCTCTTATTTTTGAGCTGTAAAGTTTCTTTTTGTTGTTGTTAATTTTTTTTAAATTTGCTATGGGACACGTGCTCACCAGAGAGAGACAGTCAGAGAAAGACTGGGAAAGTGAGAGAGCAAGCTACCAGGTCTGGGACTTGAACCTTAGTTGGCCACGTGGGAGTCCAGCACCTTAACCATGGCACAACCTGCTGGCCCCTACTTCAGAGTTTTCTTAAAAAAATTTTTTTTCATAGGAATGTGTCTACATGCCTGTGAGAAAGGTGGATGGGGGCACACACCCTCGACAGGGTCTTGCGCTCCTGTGATCCCCTTCCCACAGCCCTCCAGCTTGTTAAGATCTAGGTGCTTGCATATTGTGGGGAGTATTCCCTTCTGTGGTGCGGCCATATAATGTAACGCTCTATAAGGTTATCTCACGTGGCAAAGTTCCCTGTCCAAGTCTGGAAAACTCTCTAAGTTTGTCCGTGATCTGAGCTAGCTGAAGGCTGGGGGTGGGTGGATCCCAGTGTTG